AATAATGGTGAGCAGGACTGTATGTACACAGTAGTATTATCAGGACAGATCAAAGCTGTTGTTACAACTCAAATATATTTCACTGATAAACTGCAAAACTGAAACTGAAATGCTTTATAAATAATGCAAATGATAATTTCTGACACAACAAAGTAGAATTTTTATTTAAAAAACAGACATCTCTTACTCTTAAAACTTGTGCATATTGTCACAATCATTGTCAGAAAAAAGGTCACTAAATAGTGATTATCCAAGCTGGAGTGAACATTCATTACATTAGGATCATTGCAACTGACAGCCATTGTCCCACAGTCAAGCAGCCACTCCTGAATGCAAAGTCCAAACTCTTTTAGATAATCCCCAACCACCTTCAAATGTCTTTCAGGAGTTCCCATCATAAATAAACTTAAAACAAGTTAAAGCCAATCTGAACGTCTTCAACAGATGTGACTGTTTTCACTTTGTCCTCCATCTTTAACTGTCAACTCAGTATGGCCAAATGCCCCAAGCTCCGCAGCATGAAAGCTCGTTTGGATCACTGTTGAGTTGGCTCCCCGGACCGGAGTCTGATGAAGGGGACACAAGGTGCCAGAGGTCACCTGATGGGCAGGCAGGGAGGTCAGCTCAAGGTCCAGTGCTGGTAGAGGTCAGCAGCATTACAGGGGTCCATCTGAATCTTGTCTCCTTTCAGCTGTAAACATTGCCCACTACTGGGATTCTTCAGAAGATTTTCCTGGAGAGTAGCATCATAGAAAGGGGGATCAATACAGAAGCCTAAATAAATTGCCTGTTATATATCAATATACTACAGGTAAGCAAAAAGGTACTCGTAGGTCACAGGACTATGCAGTTATCAACACCTGAACTGTTCTTTTAACCATTCTATGCTGCACTGTTAAGTCTGTCCAGCAAGCATAAATACAAACAATACACACACAAAGTGTAAAAGCAACAATATGTGGTTTCTATAGGAAATATCATGCACTGGAATATTTCTTTGTTGGCTGCGGTGACTTCTTGGAGTCTCTGCTCGTTACCCACCGTGCTCCAGTGTTAATACTACACTAAGCTAACCTTACCTTACCAGAAGCTAGTTGTGGACACATATGATAGTGATATGGATTTCCTTAACCAACGCTCAGCAAGAAAGTGAATAAGCAGATTTCAAGTGCTCCTCACCTCTGTAAAGACCCACTCCTGTTGTGGTGGCAAACTGGTGCCCTTCCCCTTCCGCTGGCATAGCTCGATCTTTACTTGCTCCGACTGGGGTGCAGCATGAAGACACAGCTGCTTTCCAATGTTATGTCGCAGCTCCTTATGGGATGAGTATTCAAAGTACTAGAAGAGACAATCAACCAATCAGAGACTTAAATGTCCCACAAATGATCTTCAGTTCTTAATTGCACATGTGTGAGTAAGAGTCATTGTACCTGGTTGCCTCCCATGTCGTGACACTGGTACATGATCAAAGGTTTACCTCCCTGGTTGTTCTCTCCAACATCCAGACAGGTTTTAGATCCTGAGTTTCTAATCTGGTGCGAACACGGACAGAAAATAACAATAAGATACAGCTGTAGTTATGCAACATGTGCTTTGTATTATATTGTTGATATCCAGATACAGACAAAGGGAAACGAGACTCACTGCTCCGAATTTTTCTGGGGTCAAGTCTGGAATGAAGGCTTCTGGGTAGATTGTGTTTAAGTACCAGGTGAAGTTCTTGCAATGAAGCCTCTCTCTCAGATTTAGACGATCAGAGATGTCCCCATACTTATTCTATAACAGGAAGGGAGTGTATTTGAAACTCTGAGAAACAATCACTTACATTAACATGATAATATCAGCTTGTTGCAGCAGGGAGTATACTGTATATTCTAGTCAAAAACGTGGTGAAAGAAGGGTGATAAATGGTCTTTAATTCAAGTGCGTTCAACATTTGAGCACTGTAACTCCTCTCATCAGGTCACACTGACCTCCTTGGCCATCACTGCAGCATTGTTGTTGCGGCGATAGTAGATATTCTTGTAGTCGTCCATCCAGACCTCAGCTAGGCGCACCTGGTTGCGAGTGATGACCTCTGTGCCCTTGGGGAAGGTGTGGGGGCTCTTGGTGCGGAAAACATGGCCCACTACAGAACAAGGGATGATCTCTAGTTGACCCCCACACTGCCACACCTGTGAATCACATTTGACACAGGTACATTTAGACTCTAAACTTGATAAGGACAGGGAGACTTACTAAGTAATGAAGTAGAACTGTGGGAGTAAAGATAAAGAGACTGACCCTGAAAGACATCTCCACATTTTCACCGCCCCAGATCTCCATCTTGTCATCGTATGTTCCAATGTGTTCAAAGTACTTCTTCGAGATTGAGAAAAGACCGCCGGCAAAAGTAGGTGTTCTGAAATTTTCATAGGCAGATACAAAAACGTTAGACACTTTAATGATTTAGGATGTTCAGTGAAACCAACATGAGCCTTCTTACTTTACAGGGTACGTTTCATCCTTGCGCAGTTTCCTCGCATCCTCGGGGATTGGCTCCCAGCCGAATGTCAGGCTCCAGTCAAAGTTACCTCGGTTGAAAGCGCGGTTAGTAGCCACAGGTTTGTTGAACTGAAAGCTGTTGAGGTCAATGGTGGTGATCTCAGGACTAACCACAGCAGTGGGCTCCTCAACAATGCGGGCCAACAGGGGCTCTAGCCAACCATGGAAACACTCACCTAGACGGCAGAGAAAGGATCACTTTATATCTACTTCTAAACCTTTGCTATGTGACTCAATTCAGGCACTCTCTAATACAGTTTCTGGAGTTTGTTTCAAGCGCTTAATTAAACACTCGACTAAAGGTTTTACTGAGAAGTTGATTAAATACCATGTGAACAAAGGGTTTAACTGTTTTAAATTGTCCCAAAACATGGATAAATAACGGATAGAAACTATTAACAGAATTACAGGTAATATGAGGTGCTTTTTTGCAGTGGTATGTACATCTTAGTAAGGATGGGAAAACATCACACTAACCCCCTAACCACGGACCCAACGAGCTTCACACAGCTGCTTAAAAAGCCCACTGTGGCTTGTTTATTGTTTTGGTTGTGTGTGTGTGTTTTCTTACAGTGTGCGTCGAGAAAGGTTAGCACTTCGCCCTGAGCAATACTGGCACCCAGCAGCCTGGCAGTGATGAGGCCCTTCCTCTCCAGCTGCCTCACTACACGAACAATCTTCAGTGGACGCACATATTCCTCCAGTTGGCTCTTCAGGTGCTCTGAGGAAATAAAAACATCTTCTGTCATGTTATTTAAAAAAAAATGATGATGTTATCTTGGGTGAGAGAGTGGTTGATCCCTTGCTGCAATTATGTGTATGCAGGGTAAACTTTACATCACTGTTATAGATGCAACACAGATCACTTTGAACCATACCCAATAGTGATGCTTGTTGTGGTCAGAGGAGGAACAGACTTTAAACCTAAAACCAAAAGTGTTCAGTGAAGCAATTATTTCCAGCAGCTCGCTGCCCCAGAGAAGAAAAAGTCCATCATATTAACATATGTGAGACCACTGGCAGAAGAAAGAGCAATAAAGTGGAAACATTGCTGGTAAAACTGGGCCACACTTCCGTTCTAAAGGCATTCATGGCCACAATGCACGCTGCACATTTGTCATAGGTTTCGGTCTAAGTAAATCCACCAACCACAAGCTGCTCTGATAGCAAAAAGGGAAGTTTGGGTATAGTAGCAAATGTGCAAATACAGTTGAGGGTAGCGGAACTTACGCATATGAAAGAAACAACTGACACAATATTTCAAGCTCAGTCCGTAGGTCATTCATTGTTAATAAATACTCAATGCAACGATACAAGTAGCAGTGAACATGACTCAGTCATTTTTACACCTGCTTTGCTCTGCAGGGTTGGTCAGGCTAGTGTTATATTTAGTAGTATTTCTAATGACATCTGTGGTCAGCATTTATTTTCTTTAGGTCCAACAACTGAAATGATGTGACACTTGAAATATTAGCTTAAAACACTGCAGTAAACCTGATTTTAGAATAGATTAGATTCAACATTATCGTCGTAGCACACAGTATGTACAGTACATGCAGTTTGGAATCTGGGCAAACCATAGCAAATAAGCTTATAGATACATTTAAAGACAAACTAATACATAGAACAAACAATAGACCAATGGTGTAGTGATATAAGGTTGAAAAGCATGCTTATTTCTACCAGCTGAGTCATAAATTTTAACCTTTTCCCTGTATTATAAAAAACAATTACAGACAACTCAATTATGTTGTTGCTGTACAACAATATGTGACAGTATTTGCACAGTAAAATCATTGCATAGCATTTGTTTGTGAAAGATTTTGCTATGCAAACATAAAACAAAGCTGCACCCGTACATCAGACAGGCTCCTTTAATCGTAACTGTCCGTCACTTTTGCCAACTCTTACTGAGGTGGAGGTGCCCTTAGAGAGTCTGTAGTCAAGCTGGTGCTCACTACTGTAATTTGTATCTCCCTGGAGATCAGGCTTGTGGACATAAAATACACAGGCTCATCCTCATTTGTGACAGATAAGTGCCTTCTACTATTAGTAAACCCACCTGATTGTTATTGTGTGTGCATGCTGCTAAAAAAAGCTAACAGAATTCTGGGTTATCTTATCAAAGCTCACAGCTTAAAACGACTGGAATGCTGCTCTAAAAACTCTGAAGGTCATTCTAATCAATTAATTACTTATAACCTGAGACCTAATAGATTTTACCTGTTTGATTTTCTATCGTGTTGTTTGAAATTGTCTCTTCACTAACCAACTATTCTGTGAGACAAACTTTTTTTTACAGTGAAAACAGGTGTTCAATTTTATCTTTACATCATATGTTAAAGGTCAGTAAAGAAAGCAAAATGATGATCAAACTGAACTCCAAGCCTCTCTTACATGGTCTTTTATATTTTTCGGTCTGTGAGTATGTTTTGTTATTGTGTGTTCTTTTTCCACACCTGCAACACTGGCGTCATCTACCAAGATGATCTCTTTGAGAAGCATAGCAGGAGATGTGTGCAGGACGCTGTAGACCGTCCTGAGGAGGGTGGACCAAGCCTCATTGTGGAAGACAATTATAACACTGGTGGTAGGCAGAGGAGGACAGCGTCGAAACTTCCTATCCACGCACCTGAGCGAGGTGATCCACGTCAAAACACAGAGAGAGAGAACAAGACAAATGAAGCGTTAAAAAGTGAGAGCCATATCTGATCAAGAGAAAGTCACAGACCGTCTTGCAGTGCTAGGTATAACAACGTATTTGCAGACATTTGAGGTCTACTCACGCACACTTTATATAGCCCAATGTGCAAACAGTTCATCTAAAAAGCCACTTGTTCTGCAAAGCAAACAGCTCAAAGCCTATCGAGCCTGTGACGTGTTTAGATAAAAATTAACAGTGAGAGTGGAAGTATTTACGACAGCACATATAAGGCCTCAATTATCCAGGATACTGACTCGCACACTAATGGAGAGTGCGATATGAAAATGCATGTAAATAATTTACCACTCTGAGCATGACCCCAGCTGGGACCATGGATATTATCTGGCCTGCTGTGTACATGTCAGCACACCTGTTGGTAAAACAGTGATTATTCCGTAATATCTAAGTTTATTCCGAGAACACTTACTCTGGAGGCCTCGTGTCATCCCCAAGACTACGGCTGAGCGAGATGTGGTCGCTGGCAAACTGGTTGAAACAGTGCCGTGTCATACCCTCCTCCTTCTCCTTCTCCTCCTCTGGGGACATGTGGTCTTTGTGAAATGCCTTCCCATCAGCCCCAGGGCCGTTGGGGTCCTGAGGTGGTCTCTCCAGGTGAGGTTTGAGCTCAGCCTGAGTGTAGAATCCAGAGGGGCAGTTGACGTCCTGGGTGGGCTGCTCCTGTACTGGTGGTGGCTGTGGGGCTCCGATCTGGAAGCCAATGTTGTTGACGGCCTCTCGGACCAGTCCGATCACCTTGTCCCTCTTGTCCACCAGCTCCTGAAACCAGGGGTCACCAGCAGGCGAAGAGCCAACATCCCTCTGGAGGACCACTAAGGCCACCATGAAGAGAGTCCCCCCAAGGAGCACCAGCTTAAGGGGGGACATACGCCGGCGCAGGAACAGACGCATGTTTAAGAATCTGTGTCCTGAAGGCTGTTCAAAAAAAGAAAAAACAAAACTAAATCCCCAGAAACTGGCCACCGCTTATCTGTAACTCATACCTTCCTTTACTCTCCAAACATTCAGCGAGTAAAAAAAATAAATAAAAAGACATCAAGCAAAAGAAAAATCCCTTAAACCGGTTTGTGCGTCTGTACAAGTGTCATAGCAGCAGGTGATCTAGCCAACCTCGCTTCTCCTTCCCCTCCGTGTCTTCAGGAAACAGTCCCACAGGGGGCGGGTGGAGAGAACAGGGAGGTGGAGAGTGTGAACAAACACACCACACCTCTCCGTAAACACCTGAATTCACCTGCTCTGGACACAGTCCTCCAGGACCCACGTGGCAGCAGGTGGGCTGCGGCACTGCTGGCTCACCCTGCAACTCCCACACCGGTTAATAAATGACACACTGCTCCTTGCTACACCTGCTCCCATGATACCTCACCAATGATAATCTGTCACCTTGCAACAGGAAGCAGAGTTTGCGACGTGGAGCATGACAGGGCCATAACATCACACAGTCACACAATAAGAGTTTCCTGCTATGTAAAACAGGATATCATTGCCAAGTATGTCATCTGCGTGTCCTAAGGTGATGACTGTTCAGTAAGAGACTCACTCTTACTTAGTGATAATTAATTTACTCTATTCTCAAGCCAGCCTCCTTCATAATTGATTCAAGAGGACACTCTTTTGGTGTTCCAGAAAAAAGAAACCACCACAGCGGTCTCTACGTTTCTTTCTGGTAGGCAACCAGTTAGACCAGTTTGATGTCATCACACCTAACACAAAGGATGAGGAATGAGAAACATTTGATCAGACAGACTTAAAATATTTTTATTATGTGGGTCTGTAACTCTGGTTTGACAGCCAACATAATGTCGTTTCCCCATCAGGCCAGCGTTTAGTATTTTCGGAAAGTTACAAGTTTGCTTGACAGAAAAATCATTTTACATATAAACATGTTCACCAATCTACACCTTAAAGTAATCTGAAGCACAAGTAGACAAACTGCGGCCAATAAAAGATGCTGAGTACTGACAAAAGTCACTCGGCGCTATGAAAATGAAAGAGGAAGAGTTGACTGAAATCATGTCATTCAAAGTATGTAACATGACGTCTTATCTATTAAAGCGGATGTGGAAATCACACATTTGACAAATGAATAAGACCTGGCAGTCAATAACACAAATTTAACCGAGACGCGACTGAAATATGAATAATAAAAAGGGTTTCTACTTCTCCAAAATGCCGCCACTTACCTAAAACTGAGGAGCAGTTGTCGCCTCTTCTGTTCCGGGTGATCTGATATTTCTTTATTTGAGTGGAAAGTTGCCAAAGGAGTCCGTTGCGGTCTTTCCAGTTTCTTGAAGTTGTCAAACAATAGTTCTGAGCGAACCAGGATACAGCAGGTCCGTGGCCTCCCGGCTCTCCCTTTGAGCCGCACAGGTGCCATTTGTTGAAATGATTAGCTGCAGAGTCCCCTGCTGGCCGCGCGCTTCTTTAAAACGGACTTGTTTCCGTGAAGCACGTAGGAAACAGAGCACGAGCTCCTCCACCGAAATATCATACAAAATGTCAAATGCAGGAAAGAAAAAAATACAGTAAATCCCAAAAACTACGAAAACGAACTAACAATAAAATGAAAAAAGTCGACAAATTAACTAAACAAAAAAAATACATTTTGTTAAAATTTAAATGTCACTTGTATTATATTGGCTATCATGCAGCTACAAGAGGTTCAATTTATATGCGACACAAAAACGACAACAACACACAAACAAAACACCAGTATACTAGTGTCTGTTACAGACACATTACAAGTCCCTGTATCATGAGCCTATTATAGTAACATTCGTGCTTTTTCATCAGGGATTAGGGGGAATTTATGTCGCTTAATTAATGTTCAGCATAGAGTGCTGTAAGTGAACATTGCCATTACCTCAACAGAAATTCATTATTCATGTGGAAGCAATTAAATACTCTCTCCTGTATCACCCCCCTGAAACTGTAGACTGATTTATTCAGAAAAGGAGAAGGAGGCGTCTCTCAGGTTACTGTCACAGGGAGAAATCTTGATTGCAGGCTGCTGATTGACATGAGAGCTAAATTAAAGCCAAACAAATAGTGCACCTCTAAGCAGGCCAAAGCTGGGTTGTGAAATAAACTGTTGGGGAAGTCGTTTTTCTTGTGAAAGAAACAGTTAGTTTGCTCTTGATCTTTAGTCGATTGTTGGGGAAGAAGTGTTTGATGTTTGAAATGCCCACAGGCTTTTTCTAAAACAGCAATAATCATAAATATGTAATATAAACATATTTTTTAATATTAATTCGTCTCAACACAGCTAAATAAGAGCAAATGAAGGTAGGTGGTAGTCTTGTTCTCTACTGTAGAGATCTAAAAACATCAACAGAGACAATAAACCGAACAAACACAATCAATGCAAAAACAGCCATTTATTAATTTCTTATCCAAGGGGAAATGAATCAAATAAATCATTGCACTATTTCTTACACTCTGCCACTTTTTTAAAGGAAAATGCAAGTGTTTAGTTGACCTTTCATTTTAAGGACAGAGAGGGATAAGTGAAAGTGAGGATCTTTTTTTGTACCCTATGAAGGCAGCACTTTTAGGCTCAGACAGAAAAGTGAGCATATCAACACCAGGTGTAAAGCTTGTCTAAATATAAAATGCACCTTCGCTCTTCAGCAAACATACAGTCCAATTAATTTGGCCTCTAGTACAATGATTAAGCTCCTTCCTCAGTACCAAAGGCAATGCAAAGAGTGGTTTTCTTCAGTAGTAGTTTCATTGTGGACAAAAATATTCATTTTTACATACATTCACATCATTATTGTTTTGAATGATTAATTTTGGGGGGTTTCAAGCCTCCATGTGCCAAATACAACCAGCGAGCGTCAAATACTGTTGTGTAAAGTTGTGAATATTGGTCCATGAAGTATGTGGACCTTGGAACTGCATAATCTCAAGGCAATATTTGTGAGCAGACAGATAATTCCTGCATACAGTTAATCCTGAAGCTGTCAGGAAACCAGTTTACGTTCGCATGTTTTAACACAATCCAAAATATACGTTTCGTAGGCTTTTGCTTATTTAGGTTGGAATGAAATTAGTCAAAATCACAGTCCAGTAAAAGGCGCGTAGACATAATTCTCTTCAAAGGATCATTTTGACACAAGAAATCAGGAATGGGCACACAACTCTGAGGAATAATATAAAACATGCCTTGCAGCAACCAGTTTGGCAAGAAAGCATTGTCATACAGTATCATAAAAACCTCACAGTGAAAAGTTACAGTATGCCCCTTTATAGATAAAGATCAGCATTCAGCTACGTGTGCTCACACCCATACAGACACACACACACACACACCCATACACTCTCACACACTTATATAAAATGTTTAATAACAGTTTAACAATCTCAGTACCGTGATACTAATGCAACTGTTCTTCCTTCCTGTCATACTTCTTGTTTTTGGCTTGAACCAAAAATACATTGCAGGGAGCAAGTAATCAATCGAAAATACATTTCAGTGAACCACAAACAGCCTTGTGTCCAGACTGTGGCTAATCACAGGCTGGAAGAAACAAAGAAGGCCCTGATAAGAAACACAGCCAGTCGAGCCAAGGTTATTGTGTTGGTTTTTTTTAATCTGTGTATGTGTTCTCCTTCATGAATAAGTCCACAACAAAAAAAAAAGCGTTCGTCACTATCAACGACAGTGACGTTACCGTGGCCTTTGCTGTCAATAGACGAATAAATTACTTAAGGTTACTGTACTTTTGAACAGAATCATTAATGTGTGTTTCATATTAAACATTTGTTCTTTGGTCATTTTCATCCTTCATGTTGTCCTTGCATATTTTCTTTTAAGTAACATAGTTTTGTTTTATTTGTGTATGTATATTTTCTTTTTTGTACAAGGTCATCACAAAAATCTATCCGCACGAAAAATAAATAACGACTCCAGATGAAATACTTGTACTATTGCTCATAAACACAAGCATAGCCACTTCCGTTCTAAGGCAACTGGGGTTCATGATCTCTCGAGCAGCTTGGGAAAAAGCCTTCAAACGTGGACAACGTCCTACATGTGTGCATCTGAGTATGTGACAACACACAGACAGGCTGGGCTCGTCTGTGTCGGTCGTCTCTTGTCCCCAGTGTGTTCGCACCGTGCCTCGGTGCTCATCACCGAGCTGACCACTCAGTCTCTCTGCAGTCTCTGTCTTGTCAGTGCAGTGGGAGTCACGCTGCGGTCGGCCTCTCTGTTGTTAACTGCCCGGGGGACCGCTGGTGAGGAAGTAAGTGGTCATCTCCCCCTTCCCCTTCACCTTGACAACACCTCGACAGTCCAGCTGGTATCCGTTGTTGGCCAGCACGTGGTATAAGTCTGTGGTCACCTAAGAGAGAGGACACAGACATTTGACACCCAGGATGTAAGACACTCAACCCTTCCAAAGAGAAACACTGTCAGTCCCAGTTTCACATCGAATAATGTTATGCCTTCATTAAGACTGAAGCCACAACTACTTTAAATTGGCATATTAGGAATTTAAAAAGTAGTTTATTTTGTATAAATGCATAGCAAAATAGATCTAAATATCTAATAGTAATAAGACACATCCAAAGAAAATGTATCCACATCAATTTTGACAATCAATTGAGTTTAAGTCATTTATCAGGACATTCATACAGAAATTTCTGCTTTTTTCTATTTTATATAATTGGGAAATGTTTGGAATAGACTTTTTTAGGATCTCACATGTGAAGATATGTTGCTTCTCTGTGTTTTATATTATTGTAAATTGGATATATTTGAGTTTTGGACATTTAGTTGAATAAAACAAGACATCTGATGGGGCAGTTTTCTATGTTTTTTTCGAATAGTAATAGACTAAACAATTCACCACTAAATCAAAATAATCAACATATTACTTGAGAATGGAAATTAGTTGCAGTTCTACTATTTATTAACTGTGTATTATAGAGGGCTTTTTGACTTGCAGTAACACATACTGTACAACAGATGGCAGCATTGTTCTGACTCTAATCTATCCAGCAACCATGTGGGTTTGATTTGTGGCAAAAAAAAAAAAAAAAAGACAAATCTGACTACAGCTCTCAGCTAGGCTGGTGTTCTTCACACATTTTAAATTACGTATTTACATCAACTATACTTCCACGAATGAGATGATAAATAATAAAACTGAGAATTTTGTCCATAACTAACCAAACTGACACTGCTTCTCTGAGGAACATGGTGTTCACGGTGGTATTATTTCCCTCTTCAAGATGAGAATACAGGGAATTCACATTTAGCTTTCTGCCCGAGAACAGCATGTCTGGTGCTGACAGGGACTTTTGCTAAAGGGCACTTCTGCAGAACAGATGTCTGAAGGACTGTGCACTGATTGTATCTGTAGAATTGGTATCTGTATGACTTTCAGAGCATACACAGATGCCACTGTCCCTCTCAGATACTACAAACAGTACTTGGAAATGTGCACGCCTTGGAGTGATAAACCTCTCGGGCTGAGGAAAGACGACTGCAGTGTGGTCTTTTTTTATGTAGAAGATAATAAAAATGCAGTACTTACAAGATGCAATATTTGCGTATGAATAAACACACCTGATAGTTTTTACTGACACAGCATAATGACTCATTTCTGTGTTACTAGATTGGTTTCGGTGTTGGTCGATTCACTTAAACAAGAACTAAAACAGCTTCTTGTGAACATAAAACTTAAAGTTAAAAACTACTGAGACGAGTGTGCGTGCAGTACCTGGATGTAGTCTGGTACTACCTGTGCTGTCCATCGGATTTGACTGTGTTCCCCCAGATATCATACTGCGGTTTCCTGGCTCCAATCACCCCTGCTACCACTGGCCCCATGTTCAACCCTGAAAACAAATCACCTGGCTGTGTTACATCATACTAGTGCCACCATATTAACTCAATTATAATGCGGTTTCTAAGGAAGTAGATTACTGGGTTCTCCTTTGACCGGAAAAAGGACTTTTTTAAACAAATGTCAGACCAATCTCCACTACCTTCCAGGCTTACCTATCTTCATCTGGAAGTTGTTGAAGGAGTGCTCGTTGATGTATTTCATCTGCTCTCTAAGCCTCATGGCGTAGTCAGCCAGGGCCAGAATGTGTGAACGGCCCTCTCGGTCGTAGGTGGAGTCGTTGAGGCCAGAGGCTGCCATGTAGGTGGAGCCAATGGTCTTGATTTTCTCCAGTTGACGGAACCTCTCCTCACTGATGATCTAGAGACGAGTAATCAGTGGTGTATTGGGAAGAGGAAATGAGATGAACAAAAGCAGCACTTCAGCTACAGGTCAACAGTCTGGCAGAACAACACAGACAACCAGGAAAAGGTGATTGTGAGCAGTGTTGAACAAACATCTAATTTCCCCAGACTTTATCCAATACATGTTTTCTACATACATTTAATTTGCATTCATCTTCCTCTCTCATGTTTTTCCTTTCTTCTCACCTCGTCAAAATCGGCGATGATCTCGTTGAGCAGCCTGAGACACTCCACTCCCTCGTTGTTAGCTTCCAGCTCCACGTAAAACTCAGAAAAGTTGCTGATGGAGGCAAACATGACAGCGACGCACTCACATGACTGGTAGTACAACTCATCATTCCGACGCTCCCGTGCTAGAAAGTGGGCAGCTACGTCCTTAGGCAGGATGTTGTGGAGCAGGCGGCGATTGTACGCCTGCAGCTCCTCCATCTCCTCCTTCTCCTCTGTGGCCTGAGGAGGAACAGGGAGAGATTTAGTTGCTTAGTCTCACTGGCATGTGACTGGATTCCTGAAGTACTCACAGGTGCTGCTCTAGGTCTTTTTTTTATGGAATATATTTTGACATGTCACAGTAGGAAAAGCACAGGTGTAAATTCTAAGATGAATGAAGGCTGAATTCCATTTAGTTGCTTCAGTTTCAGGATCCTGATATTGTGCATGCTGGCTCACTGTCACACTCTCTTAATGGGAATAAAACAGAGCCATCATTCATATTATTACTATGACAAAATGTCTGTTGTGAAAAGGGAGTATTTTTGGATTTAAATAGTATCTTCAGTTTTATTTTTGTTTTACATGTTTTCTTTACCTGCAGCTTCCAGAGGAAGTCAAGGCGTGCGGTGGACTCCACCTGCTGGCCGTGCAAGTAGAGAGCCAGAACAAACACCGTCAGGATTACAGGGGTCATGACCTTTAGGGATACCTTGGTCACGCTCTCCAGGCTGAGGAGGGAAAGAGGAGTTGACAAGAGTCATGAATGAGCATCTTGCGTGGGAGTAAAATGTGCGCAACCTGACACACACTACAACATACAACAAGTGAAAGCTACTTACCACTGTTCTGCGGTTTCATTGAAACCAGGCCTGTAAAATAGACAAGAGCAATGTCATGTCTACAAACCATATAAGTGAGTGGAATTAGGCATTTAGAAAAACAAAACAATACAACTTACTGTTGTAGGGAATCATTTACAGGTGATAATTGCCTGAGGAAAAAAATGAGAACATATTCAAAAAATAGTATTAGAGCCCAACTGGTACATGAGAAAGTAGGTCTTTTATAATCTAAACCTTATCGTAAAAAAGTAGGCCATGTCCAACCTAAACCACAGTATTGTGACACAGGAGCTAAACTATTCAGGTTGAAAATTGGGAAATAGTAAATGTATGCGTTTGTATATGTGTGTGTGTTCCTGGCAGGAGACTCACAGGGTGTTGGCAATGACCAGCAGGTCTGCGTTGTCAAACAGGGCCACCTGAGGCCACTCTACCAGCAGGAGGAAAGTGAGCTGGATGAGTAGCATCAGAGCCAGCTTCCCTATGCTGCTGATGTGGAGGAACACAGAGCAGGCCAGCAGGGTCAGCAGTACACTGTAGCTGAAATACTGCAGCAGAGAGGAGACAGCGAGGGAGGAGGAGGAGGAGGAGCAGGAAGAGGAAGGTTAGGTGAATATTTATATATATAACATATTTTTCAAAGCACATAGCTCATAGGCACGCACTGTGCATTTGTATAAACACACAGACGATATACACACACGCTTAAATGTTATGGGACTGACCTCTGGGAAATGGCAGGGCATGGCCTGGCTGGAACACAGAGTCAAACCGTCCTCCGCTGTCTTAGTCAGGTTGTGCAGCAGGCAGAGAGTCACTGATGATGTGTTCAGCTCGTCGGCCACACAGTCCTGCAGTTTCTCTCTGCTGCAGGTAAACTGACAGAGAAGGAGGACACAGTCTATAATTTAACCGTCAGACAATACAGGTGAAACAGCAAGAAACACACACAAATGTAATGCTGAAAACAGTAAGCCACCATTATAACACATGTAAATACTTTATTTATAGCTATATCCATGTTTGAGAGTTCTATATATTATTTAAATATTAGCACATAAAAAACATTTTTGATAAAGACCACTTGTTGTTGCTGGCTGTTGGTTATTAAAGAATTTTTACCAAGATATAAACTGAGTGGGAAATTTTCCATTTGAAAAATATTTTAAAAACATAGTTCTCAGTGCCCTGTGCTGACCAAATATGTAAATAATGGTATTTCTAAATGACATCAAATATCTTAAATCTTCCAATAACCTTATGTATTGGCTGGGCCTATCAACAGTCAGTAAACACTGTAACCAGAGGTTTTAATCCAAGAAATATTCATAATTTCCGTCATGTAATTTTAAAAGTTTTGACAAATTTTTTTAAATGCCTTCAGTCACATTGCTCAAAAATAATACAAGACAACAACGTATCCAAATACACTAATAATGAAAAAAATAAAGAGTCCAAAGAATGAGCACTGATGCTGAGTCTAGAAATAGAGAGCAGCTGCTGAACCGAGCAAGCAAGCTACTGAATAAGTCCTTATGAAATCTAAATTGGCTAGCTTGATGTTTGAGTGTGACAATGAGCAACCAATCACAGGCTGAAACAACCCCGCAGGCAGCCAGTAATACAAGTATATTAGCAGACAAAACAGCTATAGACCACAAACAAGGAGAGTGACACAAAAGCACGTCTTACAGTATATACAGCAAAAGAAAAACATTTTTGCTAAACCATAGCCACTGCATAGCTTCTGTGGCTGACGTTTAAAAACCATATTTGTATATTGCTGATGCACAGCAGTGAGGTTTCAGTAGTTCTATGACTCCCAAAACGTTTCTTGTAATTTGGCATATTCATGTTTTTTTTAATCCACACACACCAACACAATGCGAAATAGGTCTACATAATGTTGGTAAATATGACTTTTTTTTTTTTTTTTTTAAATGTGATGGTAAAAATAGCAATAGGATGAATGACAGCTCAACACCCAACTACAGCACCACCTCACGCAAAAACGGTCTAATTTTAAAAATGGTAAGATGGAGCAGAAATTCTTCAAATCTCTTGAAAATCTGATCAGCAACATCTGAAATGAATTGTATGATAAATTAATTGAAGGACAGACAAATGTAACTGAGGCAGCTACAGAAACCCTCCCCTCCTGTCATTGTGGGGGACAACTTAAAGCAACATGTTACATGATACAAAAATTACAAAATGAAGAGCTGTAGTCCCTACCATGTTAGCAAAGGAGGAAATGAAGAGGAGCAGGATGGCGAAGACGCCCACCAGTGTGCTGTTTGCACGAGACTGGACTATTTTCTTGGTTACAGTCTGCAAGGCAACTGGGAAGAGCTTGAATACAGACAGCAAGGAGAAGATCAGATAAGAGAGAGTTAATACCATTAGTGATGCTGGTTGAAGACATATGATAATGACTCTTATCTGAAGACATCTGCAAGAGAAATCATATGAGTGGTGAAGGCCTTGTGTCTCACTTTGATGCAGAAGTAGATGGCACAGATGAAGAGGATGTTGGCGAGGATGATGAAGATGCTGATGTAAAGACCAAGCATAAGTGTTGTTCTGCGGAAGAGAAGAAAACAGGCTTATTAGGATGTATAAGTCTCATTAACCCCTCGTAAACTAATCAAGACCACATTTCCTGTCCACAATTGAAAAAAAAGCAAATTACTGGAGGGAGCTACTTACTTTGGAAAAATGATCATCTGAATGAAACAGATGCAAAAGAAAACTAAGAGAGTGCAGGCCACGTATCCCCCCAAACGATCATCAACTTTTTTGGAGTACTAAAAACAGAGAATCAAAGAGAAATAAGTTTACTTGTACTACAATTAAAGATAAAATAATAAGTATATTCAGTTTATTTGACAGGAAGTTATGGTGACTTACAAACCAACTCCAATCAAATACCAACCTTTTTCTCCAGGTCAGCAGTCTGAAAGGTGAGTAGGAACTTCTTGACATGGTCCTTCCTCAGCTGGTCGATACTGCGTGCATCGATGGCCCGTCCAAGAAACTCATCCACCTCATCCTCAGGGTTCAGGGCCTCCTGAGCGCAGCGGCTATGAGGTAGATGGAACAATAGGTCACTGTGTGCTGTGCGTGTGTATCCGTGTGTGAGTGTGTATGAGGGAATTGGTCTATGCTGTGACAGGCAGGATGACTCAGAGCTAATGTGGTATTAGTGCTGGGTTGGTATGACTGTATAAAACCAACAGTGGGCTCTAAAGTTAGACCGCTACAGTGACAGTCTGCCAGTCAACTGCTAATAACAAAAGCCACCCTAATAACAAAAACTGGGACCAAAACACTCACTTGTCTTTGCTGGATGCTTCATCGATGCCCTGAGAAAAACAAAAACAGAGAGTGAAAACGAGACCAAAATGCAGTGGCAGTGCGGGAAAGAGAAAGAGAGAAAGAGATTATTGTGTAGCCACAGTACAACTGAAAAATAGACAGAGACTCAGACATCTGCACAGCTAATCCCTGAGAGCCAGACTGATGTTTTAATTAATGCTCGGAGGCTTCAAATTACACCCTCTTTGCCCCTAGGGCTCAAACCCTCTGAGATGGAGAGGACAAAAGGAGGAGGAGAGGGGAAGAATGTAGGAAAGACAAGGAAATGAGACTTGTTTTGCAAAGAGAGGGAGGAAGTGAGAGAGTGCGAAAGAGAAATATCTGCAGCTGCAGCCTCATCAGATTACCTTCAGTAGTAAATGATGCACTGGGAATCCCTGGGAGCCCTGTTTTAACTCCTGTTTGTTTGACGGACACAGATCAATACTTCTCACATTTCCATTGTCTCCTTTAGGCTTTAGCACATATACAGTTCTGTACTCATATTTATTGAGTGTCTTATTTACTCCAAGTAAAGGCACAGTTACTAACGATGACAATGCTAATATGCTAATGTTTAGCCGGTATAATGTTTGCCATTTTAGTTTAATGTTTGCTTATTGGACAGTAAATGGGAATTATGGAGTATCCGTAGATCATACATTGAAGAAAGAGTTAAAATGCATAAAAGAAGAGTTTTACTTTACTAAGTGTTGTTGCTAGAATAAAGCCATAGATTGACAAAAAGAAATTTGTTTTTAGAGATTCTATGAGAAGAAGTTAATAAAATGTGTATTCATAGGAAGTTGGTAAGAACTCTGACCAACAATAGGCCTCTGACCCTTGAATGACCATGTAAGAATAGTATCTAATTCTATTGGCTATTCTGAGGAAATAATTTGAGGGCATATTTATGATTTGACTTCAGAGAGTGGAGAAGATGACACAGGAAATCAGATATAGACAAGCAGAACAGGTGCCAGTCCTCAGCTAAGTGCTCCCTGCGTGTACCTCACCATCTGCCTGTAGACTTTGGGCTCCTTGGGTCTGGAGAAGGATCTGTCAGGCACCCAGCGTGGCATCAATCCCTCGGCAGAATTTGCACGTGCTCGCTGCATCTTGGCCATCATGGCTTTCTCCTCTTTCTGGAAGTGAAGAAACCCCCACCAGAGTAAAAGCTTGGTCTTCTATGCCAGGTGACAAACCATTATATTGTTTGTGTGAAATATGGCACTAGTGTGAAGTTCTGAAGAGGTCAAGCAGGTAATCAAGGACGTGTGTGTGTGTGTGTGACCGTTCACTAACCCTCTTCTGGCTGCAGCCCAGCACCAAGAAGGTTTCAATGTTGTTCTCCTTCAGGTAAGCATTCCTCTCCCCTCCAAATCCTGGCTCTACCTCATAGTCCCCGTTCAGATACTGTAGTGTGGCTTTGGTGATGTGGATACGCCTACACCCACCCACACACACACA